GGCCTGGGAAACTGTGCGGGGGTGGAGGAGGAGGAAGGGGAGGAGGAGGAGGCCCTGCCCCGGGCTCTGGAGGGACCCCTTGGGCCATGGTGGGACCCCTTGGGCCATGGTGGGACCCCTTGTGCCTGGCGGGACCAGCCCAACCCTTCAGAGGCATGGCAGCCCTGAGCAACCTCCACACAGCACTTTGTACCCAAAACAGTTTATTTTAAACTATTTCTGTAGTTCATGGGGCTGTTGTGTTTCAGGGAGCAGTGCCTGGGTGTGGGGTGGGCTTTGGTGTCCGATGGGCGTAGAACCAGGCTGGGGGGGCGCAGGAACCATGTGCCACCCACCTGCCCCCCATCCTAACAGGGCAGCCCCTTCCTCACCCGCTCGATCTCCGCCTGTGGGGAGAGGCTGTGATTGTTGGGGGGCACAGGGGACCCCAGGACAAAGCCAGCCCTGTCAGGGACTCACCTGCAGCGCCTGGCGCTGAGCCCGCTCCTGGCACAGCTCCTGCCGCAGCTCCTGCAGGTCCCGCCTGCAACACGCCAGGGGGGCTCAGCTGGGGCCAGGACAGGCAGCCCGGAGCCACTGGGGACCCCCCGGCACCCCCATCCCCACTCACAGGTGCTGGACTCGCATCAGGTCCACGAGGATGTGCAGGGTCCGGACCTCAGCCTTCAGATCCTCCAGGGCCAGTGACTTCCCCTCCAGCCCCTCTGTGCTCCTTGCTGGGACAGGCGCCTGCCTCGTGCTGGGGACAGGGGCACAGGGGGCAGCACGGGGCAGCCCCTGGGGCTGCTCCCCCCCATGGGCACCCCCCGTGCTCCCCAGGACCATGCTGGGTGGCCGCTGGCCGGGGACTCGTGGCCGTGTGGCTGTGGGGTGGCTCAGCCTGGCTGTGGTCACTGACACCGTGTTGAAGCCATCGGCATCTGCCAAAGAAAGAACAGGAAGCAGCCCCAGGAGGTGAGCAGGGCCCGGCCCCCCCTGCATGGCCCCTGCATCCTACCTGGGTCACCGGCTCTGCCCCACTCCATGTCAGCTGAGGCGCTGGGCTGGGGGTCACTGGGCCTGGGGACAGCAGAGATGTGAGTGGCACAGCCAGGGAGGTGCCAGCCCCATGCCAAGGCCAGCTGTGAGCACGGCACTGGGACATCGCAGTGGCCCTGGACACCCCAGCACAGCCACGTTTCTTACTTGGTGGCCAGCACGGGGGCTGGTTTGGTCTTGGCAGGAACGGGGGGAGCAGGAGCCATCCTCTTGGTGAGTGGGAGCTTGGTCGGGTCCATCCTCGCTGGTGCTGCGAGCTCTGGCGAGAGGAGGCAGAAACACGGCTGGGGCTGCGGCCCGGACCAGCGCTGAGAAGAGAGGAGCACGAAGCGCTTCCTGCTCGTGGCATGCCCTGGCCCAGGCACATCCCTGCGCTTCCCTCTCCTCCAGCCCAGCACTCACCCAAGGGGTTCTCTGTCCTCGCCCTCCTTGTTCTTCTCTCTGGTTGCAGCTGGTGGGGAGCAAAGGTGCTGAGAAGGGGCCTTGTTCCAACTCTTCCAACCCTGCACCAGCCCCACAGCAGCCCTGCTGTGGTCGGCGCTTCCTCTGTGCGAGGCGGAGCAGAAGCTGCAGAACTGCAGTACAGGGAGTCATCCCCACCACAGCAGCATCTCTGAGCTGCTGAACCCTGGGTTCACCACAGGACAAACTCACAGCTCACAAACACACTGTGAGCTGTGGGTACAGGACAAACTCACAGCTCACAAACACTGTGTGCTGTGGGTACAGGACAAACTCACAGCTCACAAACACTGTGAGCTGTGGGTACAGGACATCGGGCCATGAGGGACCACCCTGTCCCCATGGCAGGCCACCCTGTCACCACAGCTGGCCACGCTGTCCCTGTGGTGGGGCCACCATGTCCCTGTGGTTAGCAACCATGTCCCCGTGGTGGGCCACCATATCCCTGTGGTGGGCCATTGACCCCATGGTGGGCCAGCAGCCCTGATGCTGCCTGGTCCTGCTGCTGCCACCAGCACAGCCCTTGTCACAGAGGCCTCAGACACCAAAACTGGTGCTGGGATTACGGATTACCCACACAAAGATACGGCTGAAGCACCGAGGGCTGCAGGATGAGGACACCCCAATCCAAGGCCCCGGTGCTCCTTGGCTCTGGTGGCACAGGGTGATTGATGGTGCCCAGCAGTGCCCAGATGGTGCCCAGAAATGCTCAGCATCCTGCCCACCCCTCTCCAGCAGCTCTCCCGGCCCCAGGGCCCGGCCCAGCCCTGGAGCAGCGCGATCACACACNAAAGTTGTCTGCGACACTGGGCTGTGCTCCCAGCCTGTCCATGCTGCCCCACTGTGGCCAGGCCAGGCTCACCCCGTGTTGTCTGTCCCAGGGATGGCCGGGTCTCAGAGAACACTGTGTGCTTGATCCGGAAACTGCTGGTCCTGGACCCGCAGCAGCGGCTGACGGCTTCTGAAGTGCTGGATTCCCTCAGCTCCATCATAGCGTCCTGGTATGTGCAAGGGGAGGCAGGACACGCTGTCTCTGGCCACAGGCTGTGTTGTTCCAGCTGTGGCTGGCTCAGCTCACCAGAGGAGAGTCTGGGAACTGCAGTAAGCCTTTAAATCCCACGTGTCCACCACTGTGTGCTGATGGATACAGCTGGGGAGGCTGTGCAAATGCTTATGGCAGCCGTGGCCATCCCAGTGGGATCACCCTGGGGCTGGGTGAGGGTGGCTGAGCCAGTGCCATGCTCTGGATCCCAATGCTGTTCTCTCCTCCAGGCAGTCCATGTCCTCACTGAGTGGCCCTTTGCAAGTGGTGCCGGACATAGATGACCAAGTGGCCAATCCTGAAAACCCCCAGGAGGTAGGTTTCCCTGCTTTCAACAGAACTGCTTTGTGTGCTGTCTGTGATGGCACCCATTGTGTCCCCCAGCTGGGAAGGGGAAGGTGGGGAGGACACAGCCGAGTCCCTCACATTGTGCAGCGGAAGGCAAGGCCGATGCTGCTGGGAGCAGGAGGCACATCCAGCTGGCTGAGCTGCCAGGAAGTGAGCTCGGCCCCGGAGCTGATGAGAGCAGCTCACCCCGCTCCCAGCAACGCTCACTCCCTCTCCCACAGCTGGGAATGCTGGGAGGAGGCAGCACTGTTGGCTCTGGCTCCCAGTGAGCTCTGCCATGGGAGCAAACATCCTGTTTTCCTGCCGGTTTGTTTCATGCTCGAAATGTTGGCCACGGCCTGGCTGCCCAGGGACAGCCATGCAGGATCTGTGACGGTGCCGCAGGGACAGGGGTCAGGCAGCTGCAGCCTCAGCGCTGCCAGGGCTGGGATGAGCCATGTCAGGACAGGGCTGCTGTGTCCTGGTGGCACTGCTAGCTCACAAGGAATCCTGCCTGTGTCCCCAACAGCAGCTCCCTTTTCTGTGTTAGCTACCATGGTAGCTCAGGCCCATCAGGGGAGCCGTGTGGCTGCCAGGTGTGCTCTGACAGCTCGCTCTCTGCAGGTGAAGGTGACGGAGGAGTGCTCCCAGTACGAGTTCGAGAACTACATGAGGCAGCAGCTGCTCTTGGCTGAGGAGAAGAACACCTTGCATGAGGCCAAGAGCTTCCTGCAGAAGCGGCAGTTCGGGAACATCCCGCCCGTGCGGCGCCTGGGCCACGACGCGCAGCCCATGAACCCTTTGGACGCGGCCATCCTGGCCCAGAGGTACCTCCGGAAGTAGCTTCCCATGCCCCAAGAGCACGAGCACCACCCTGCAGTCTGCCCTCACCTCGCCCGCTCCAGCCTACAGCAATACCGGTGTCCCACGACGGGGAATAATGTAGCAATCCCAAGCTCTGTCCAGGGACACGCACTCACACCCGCCCCGGACGGAGGAGACTTTTGGAAAAGCTAGTTTTGGAAGCAGCAACCTCTTGGCATCTTCTGGAATCTGTTTTTTTAAAATCGAAGCCTAGATGACTAATCTGCTTTTGATCATGACTGTAATCTACCTCTCTTGTCTTTTTAACCATGCTGTTCTCTGGATCGAGCAAAGCCCGTGGGAAAGGAGGAGGAGACTTCCAAGGGTGAAGCTGCTGGCACAGAGCCGTGGCCGGCCCGTGGCGCCCGCTCCGTGTGGTTTGAATAAGCTTGGATTTATCAGGGTTTCTCGAAAGGCAGAATTTCTTGAAACCTCCCACTTCCCTTCATCTGCATCAAATCTGTTTTTTGTCCTTATTTGCCACCTGGTCTGGCCATGCTGGCCAGTCCTGTGTGGCCACTGCTGTGACCGGAGAGCGCGGCCACCGCCTCAGGCAGGAGTTGAGGAGTCAGGGGCAGGGATCAGATCCTGTCCCCAGTTCAAAGGTTTTGCAGGACTTGGCCTGCCAGGGCCCCTGCCCCCTCTCCCACCTCTCACTGATTCCTTTAGTTTCTAAGGATCTATGATTTAATCTTATTTTTCAGTAGCATATCCCAGGTGCAGTTACAGTTGCATTAATTCTGATTTAGCGTTTCCCCCCTCAGTTGTGGTACAGATGTAATATATGAGTTATAATGTGAAAAGCTTCCCAGAATAATTTGCCTAGAGATAGAGGGGCTGGCTGAAGTCTCTACTGTATTTGTTCCCAGCTTTTCTTGCCATCCCAGCCCAAACCTGGGGCTGCCTCTGCCCTCATGCCAAGGCAGGGGAAGGACATCCTGGTTTGTCACCTGGTGCCACTGGAAGAGCTTTGGCCTGTGCTGAGAGCAGGAACGATTGTTTCTGAGCCTCATTTATGAACTGGATGCCTGTCTTGCCAGATGAACTGTTCTCACACAGAGTTCCCAGGGCTCCCAGTGCCCTGCCCAGGGCTCCTGCTCAAGGCAGCACCTTCTTCAGCTGCCTCCTTCCCTGCTCCTGGCTGCTCCCAGCCCTTTGCATCACCCTCAGCCAGCCCTGTGAGCAGGGAGGTTGGGGCTGGGGGGCTGCCCTGCTGTTTGGGCTGCGCTGCTCTCTGGGCGTGGGCAGGGAGCGAGTTGCAGATGTTTGTAGCGTGTTGTTGCCTTTTCTTGCCCCGGGCTGGGGAAGGGGACGGGGTCCAAGCTGGGCCACCCCAGCAGTGGCTTTGTGGGGGCAGGGGGCTGGACCTGAACCTCCCTGGCCGTGTTGGGCATTACGTCCTGCCTGCGCCTCGCCAGGGCCCTGTGGCCAGGCAGGGCCTCGTGAACACTAACACAGACCAGCTCCCTGCACCACCCCAGCTGAGCCAGTAGCCCCAACTCTTTCGCCTTATTTATTTTATTTTGAAGATGGTGGGTCAGTCCCGTGGGCCCATCACCCCCTGTGCCACCAGCAGCAGGGCAGGGATCCCCTGAGCACCCCAGCAGGGCCCTGCTCTCTCCTTCTGGTTCACTCCTGCCTCATTCCCTGTTTATTTTTACTGTTTTTTTCCCCAATGTTAAAGCAAAAAGCAATATTCTGGGACTCCCTGAGGCTGTATCACACCAGGATCCTGCAGTGGCAGCACTGGTCAATTCACTTGTGCTAAGGCAAACTGGAAGGGGGTGGTGCAGGGGGCATGGGGGCCACAGGGCCACGGCGGGACAGAGCCTGTTGTAAGGAAAAAAAAAAAGAAAAAGAAAAAAAAAAGGAAAAAAATTTGTATAAAGACGTTATTTTTGTACTACATCGGAACTACTCCTGCATGTCGGCAATAAAACTTCATACGACAGCCCGGTGACCCCACAGGGAAGGGTGGGAGGGATGGGTGGGATGGGATGGGGGATTTTGGGGTACTGATGTGCTCTGGGAGGGGGGCAGGCTCACGGATCAGCGGCCCTGAGTGCCCCATGGGCCC